CCATGAAATTTCTCTCATGTTGGTAGAATTATCAAAATACTTGCCCACATTAAAAGAAGTGAGGTTGATTCGCCCAAAGGGTGCTACAGAGGATTGCGAGGGAAGGTGGAGCTGCCATAGATTTGTGAGAAAGTCCCACTGGTCGGTGGAGGTGTAGAGACTCGCCGGTATGTGCCCAGTAGGCTGCTAACCCGGAGACGACGGTGGCGCGGTCGTGCACTGCTCTTTTCTGTTTAACAAGATAATGAAAATGGGAAAAAGTTGAAGAAACACCAGTCAGTTCTCTTTCTTTACGTTTTGGGAGATTTTAGACGTATTAATTACGTTTTGAATTATTTAATTAGTCCAAAGTGTATTATTCAATTTTGTTTCTTATGGGCCGTACTGGGCCTAATTATCCCAAAAGAAAATTGAAAAAATAATTGGCCCAAATTGTAAGATAGGTGGATGCCATTAATCTACATAATACAAACCTAATCCATTCCAATTCCCAAGGATCCCAACTTGAGCACGCTCGTCCCCACAGAGAATTGAAACATTTGAATTGAAACCCCCAATTTCCACCAAAACAATAAGGTCTCAAATTCATGAAATCGATGAAATTGAAGAAGTGCAGCCGTGGGTATCATCTGAAGCAGGTAATTATCGGATATTTTTTTGTAATCTTCTTCTACCCCTTATTTTGTTTGATACAATATTGATCAGTAAAATGTGAATGGAAATATTGTGCTATTTTAATAATTAAATGATTTTTTTTCTTTTATAAAATCTTGTAAAGTGTGAGGAGCTGTTTGTCGCCCTTTTTCAAGGAGCTGTTGGAAAATTCAATGATTTAATTGGGAATGGATTGTATGGAAATCGTAGGTTTGGGTTGGCTTTGAGTCCGATGCCTTTGGATTTAATGGAGTGACAAGTGGGGCGATGTTCATTAATGAGAAATGGAGAAAGCAGCAGATATTGGAATTGGAGGTGTTTTCAAAGAGGTTGGAGTTGGTGCTGGATCAGATTAAAGCACACTTGGAGGAACTCGGGTCCATGGGGAGTTAATGGATAGCTTTCTTGGGTAGAAGTGTTTGCTGGCACTTTAATTTTCTTGACTCCTGGATTAGTCGTATATTTATTCATTTGTCTTTGATAAATGAGAAAGTGCAAATTCTATTTAGATTTTTAATTTGGATTATGGATTACGAGGTCAGAAGTGGTGATGGTGGTAGATTGGTGATTTGTATTGCATTTTTTAATAAGAAAATCGGGATTTCTTACTGAGATTTCTTCAGGGCTACAAATTAAAGTGGAACCGTTTCTTACTTTCTTATGATGTTTTATTTTTTAATATTAGTAGAATCTGGTTCTGACATGGAGTCTAGAGATGATTAATTTGAGCTTGCATATGATAATAAATTTGATTGTTTTATCATTTATGGGGATTTTTTTAATAAGAACAATTGTAATGTATTTCATTTTAGTATAATATTTGCGTTTTAATGTTATTTTTTTTACCCTTACTAATGTCGTCCACACTGGAAAAATTTTCTGGATCTGCCCTTGAATAGAAGGTAATATACAAGTACACACACTCCTCTAAACGAGTATACATAATGGACATGAATGGAAATACGAACAAGTATTTTTTGGTAACAGAGAATTCAGTGTTATCATTGACTCGTCATTTTATGTCATTGGGTGTATGTGGTACCAGAAGTCACCCCACCAACCCACGCAACTTGTTCCGATCCTCAAAAGGTGGGGGATCCCAGCTTGCTTGTCATACTCATCACCTACACATGTATGTGTGCAGCAAAGGGTTGTCCAGCAACGCCAGGACTGGGGGTATCTCCGAGATGTTGATTTGGCATGAGAAATTGTATTATTTTCTGGTCTATTTAAAATATCACAGAGTGTTACAATTCTATTCACATCTTATCAACATTTTAAAAAATGCATCTAATCTGTATATATGTGACTTAAAAAATAACATTAAGAATGAAGCATGAAATCATCAGTTACAACTATTGTGACTCAGAAAAATGCTACATTAAACATCTTATGGCTAAAACTAGGTAGAATATTGTGGTTTTCCTTGATGTTGTTACGAAATGGCAGATTGTGGGTGGGATATGAGTTTCGGTTGCTGATGCCAAGGCATGAGGAAAAAGGGTTGCATACGGTAGTTAACTCTGGATATGGCACCCATGAAAATACTGAATTAAAGCAAACACAGCAAGTGATGGCATCTACCTGGATATTGAGGGCCATTCCATTCAATCTAAACTGGAAAAAAAGTTTGTTCTTGTGGTAAAGAGTCTAAAGAGAACAGTTGATTGGCACAGTGAAAACAGTCTCTATGCCAACCAGATATGAAAAGAATTTACTTCGTAGGTGATGTCACCCTATGCCTACATAACAAGCCACTTAACTCGAAATAGCAAGCCATTTCATAGTTAACACCATATAAAATGTTGAAAGTTCTAAAGTAATTTTTAATCTATAAATGCTTCTTGAATTTCTTGAACTTATCAATCATCATTGGCTTTGTCATCATGTCGGCGGGTTGATCGTTTGTATTTATAAACTCCATTCAAATTTCTTCTTGATTTATCAAATCTCTTATAAAGTGATATTGAAGTTCAATATGCTTTGACCTTGCATGGAAGATTGGATTTTTTTTCATTGCAATTGCCGACATGTTGTCACAATAAATTGTTTTTGGTCCTTCCTGCTCAAATTTCAAATCTTTCAAAATTCTTCTAAGCCAAACAACGTCACAAGATGAATCTATAGCAGCAATGTACTCTGCTTCTGCAAATGATAAAGCAACAGAATTTTGCTTTTGGAGCTCCAGGAAATTACATCCAAGGCAAAAGATGTATCCAGAAGTTCTCTTCAGATCATCTACTGATCCTACCCAATCACTATTTGCAAAGCCAACAAGTTTGCAATTATTTTCCTTTTTAAACTCAATTCCATGATTCTTGGTTCCTTTAAGGAATCTTAAGATTATTTTTGCTGCTGCAAAATGTAGTTTGCTTGGTTCATTCATGAATCTAAATAATAAGCTGATTGAATGTGTAATATCTGGCCTTGTATTGAGATAAATCAATGAACCAATCAATTTTCTGTAGAGTGTGGCATCAACTTTTTTTTTTTTTTTGTTTTTTTTTTTTTGCATCATCATAAACTTTCAAGTTTTCATTTAAGGCCATTGGAGTGGAGACTGGCTTACATTCGCTCATTACGAATTTTTTGAGAAGATCTTCAATCTTG